CACTCCCCAGCACCGGAAAATGAAACCACCAGATGACAAAAAAACTCTTTCATCACTCTGAAGAGATGACAAATCCAGAAAGTCTCTCTTAGGAATGATCCCCTGGGTCTGGTCACTGGGGTTTGCTCTCCGGCACTGGGGATGTCTGCTTTAGATCACAAAACGCAGGCTCTCGGTGTTCCTCGGTGTTTCCCAGGTCCCAGTCCGGAGCAGGTTGGAATGATACTCAGGAAAGGGAAAGGGAAAAAATTGGACTCTTCAGCTAAACTAACTAACAAGCAGAAGCAAAGGGAAAAGCAGAAGCAGGAGCAAGAGCAAGCAAGCCAAGCAAGCAAGCAAAACAAGCCAGCCAGAACTAGCCTCTTCTACACAACAGACCATGGCGGGAGGTGAGCTGGCTGATGACAAGACAAAACAAACCTTCACTTTTAGAGTCAGTTCTGAAAGCACAGAACATAATATCAAACATAAACAGAACACACAATTGGGGATACAAACACCATAAGGTCACCCTAGGACAGAAGGAAGGAAGGAAGGGAGGAAGAGAGAGGGAGAAACGGAAAAAGGGAGAAAGGAAAAAACAAAGAGTGTAAGAAAGAGAGAAAATATTAAAAATTATAAAACATTTGTGTGTATGATATTGAAGTGCCAGGACTGTTACTAGATATAGTAATGCTAAATTGAACATGTATGTGAGACCAAACCTGTTAAACTCATTGGATGACTGTTTCTCAGAATCAAGAGTCTGTTATTTCTATTTTAAGCGGCTTACTGCTACTGCACAGTATGAATATTATCACAGAATAATAGAATGGTTTGAGTTGGAAGGGAACTTAATGTTCACCAAAATTCACCCCCATGTCATTGGCAGGGACACCAACCGTGTTAAGCTCAAAGAGCCATTCAAACTGGCCTTAAACACTTCCAGGAATGGGTCACCCACAACACCTTCCAATGTCTCACAAGCCTCATGGCAAGGAATTTCTTCCCAATAGCCAAATCAAACATATACTCTTCAGGTTTTAAAGCCATCAACACTTGTCCTATCACCATGTGTCCTTGTGTAGCTCATCTCCCTCCTTCTGCTATGCTGCCTTCAGATACTGGAGGGCTGCTATTTTCCCCAGAGTCTGCTCTTCTCCAGGTTGAGAAGATGCCTGGAGGACTCAGGCTTCATTATGCACCCCCTGTGTCACACTGGGAGCTCAGACCATTCTTCTTATTAGACTTGTTGTGTGATGCTCAGCCACTGTTTATTGTTCTTCATTGTGGTACAGGTCATAAGTAGTTGATTGTTTTAATAAAGACACACTTGAAATGAGAAGAGCTAAATTTTAGAGCCAAATGAATTGGAGAAAGATTCCTAAACCTGTGGCCAGTTACCCCAGCCCATCTATTGATTGTAAATGACATTCCTTGCAGATGTTGTGGTCCATAAACCAACGCCAAGTGATGTATACTACTTAAGAGAGATGTTCTACCTGCTTACTGGAATATGTTCTTATGGCTATAAAACAATCGCCTGAACATTAAGAACAACAGATTACATCACGAAGTAACAAAGTGCTTTGGTTGAAAGTAAAATGCATTTTAAGATCTCAGAAAATGAGGGCCAGCTTAGTTATCTGGTTCAGAGACAAGTGAAGCAATTCAGGCATGTCCTCCTGTGAAAATAGGTTACAGATCCTTCTGCACAACAGTTAACAAGCAGCATCAGAAATGTGTGCAAATAAAATACTAGCCACTACAAGTTTGCCATCCATGAGTGCTAGGGCAACTCAGACTGATAACAGTGGTTTCGCTGTTGTGCCTGTTAGAATAGACAGAAAAGAATGAGGAAAACTATTTTTCCAACTAGTTTGTTTCAGTATTTGTACAAAGGCTGTTTTCCTGCCCTCAGGAGACAGCAACAACTGTCAACAACTGAAATGCTTCAGAATTGTAAATGATCGGAATCGCCAATCTTTCTTTTCAAATCAAATTTAAAATGAAATTCATAACTATAAACCAGATAGCGTTATTTAAAGATGAATGTACTATACATCCTAAAATATTCCCAGAGATAACTATGGTGTCCAAAGTCTGTTTAAAAGTCTAGAGCTCCTGGTAAAAAACTTGTACACGACTGAGACACCTAAATGATAGTCTCTTTTCAGATTAATGATACTCTTCAATCTCATCACTTCTACCAATTGTTTTCTGTAAGTCCTTAGAAAACAGGAATTTAACTTTTTTTAGTTCTATTAAAAAAAAAAAATGACAGTGACAAGAGTTATTTGCCCTCCCTATTTTCTGAAAAGCCTGAACATCAAGCCTTAATGACTTTCTCTTGGATTTTATTTCCCAGAAATAAAAATTTTAAAGGAGTGGCAGAGAGAATGAGCGCCTCAAGCAAAAGAATTGAGGCTTCTAATTCTTAGATTGTCTTCTTACTTACCTATGACAATAAGTGGAAAGAGAATAGATTCGAGTTAGCAGCTGTTGGACATTTGCACATACTCTTCCACTACAGAAGAGCTCAAGGATGCCCTTCTGCTCCACAAGGTGCAGCTTCCTTCAAGGCACATCCACCTGCTGTGGCATGGAGCCCTCCACGGTCTGCAGTGTAGGTATGTGTCCCTCCACGGTTCTTCAGAGACTGCTGGGAGACAACCTGCTTCACTATGATGTCCTCCAGGGACTGCAGAGGATTCTTGGCTCTGTCAACTGGAGCACCTCCTCCTCCTTCTTGTCTCACCTTAGTATCACAGAGCTGCTTCTCATACTCATTTTTTCCTCACTTGTCACTGCCTAGTCATATGTTTTTTGCTTCTTACAGTATCTTTTCTCAGAGACGGATGAGCTCAGTTGCAAAAATGTCCCTTGCTAGAAAATGACATGCTACACAAAACCATGCTTTAGTAGGAATCTACTGCTAAAGAACCGGAAAATTGACAATGATTAATTGGAATATGTCCCCTCATTTTGCCTTCTTTCTCCCTAAGCTCCAGAAAGAATACTGGGTATAAGACAGTGTTGTTTCAAGGAAAAGATTTGTTTAGCATTCTAGGGTGCGTGTTCAAATTTCTATTGAGAAAAGGCACTTTGTCTTTTGTGATAAATATCATGACCTAGTAGATGATACAGAATCTCACTAGTGACAAATTCTGAGCAACAAGAGCAGATCAAAATCTGGTGAGATAAGGAGACATGTCCAGATAACGAGATACAGCAAAGCATTTTTAAAGATAATGAAGGATCCTGGTGGACTGGGCAGTTAGGTTAAATCTGCTGCTCATTCACTTTCAGGGATTGAATTGTGGAGTGCTAAACCATATCTGCTGCTGTATAAAGTAAAAGAGATCCATCCAAATTGTATGGTTAGTGTGAACACTCTCATTCTCTCTCGTAAAACACTTCAGATATTACATAGTCTTAGTAACAAAAAGAAATAAAGCCATTGTACCATCTTGGAATGGAAAAATATGTTCAAAATTTTTTTTTTCCCTCAGATTTGTTTGTTTTTTTTTTTTTCTCTCACAACACGTGAATCGTCATTTCGACCATTCTGTAATGCTTTCAACAGATGAACCCAGCATAGTCTTTTTATTACAGGCTTAATTACAGTTTTGTAATATACTCCACAGTCCTTACAGGTTTTTTATCTCTTTCCCAGAGACAATTTTAAATGACTACTTAACCCTTAAAAATCATCATTTCTCTGGTTTCTCAAAGCTTTTTGAGAAAATTGTTTTGGTCTGTTTGTTTGTTTGTTTTTAATATTGCAGACTTCCTAATGGCTTCAGACCCATGGCAACTAGAAGTTCCAAATCAATCTTATTCTAAAGAGACTGTTCAAGCTAATGAACTGCCAGTCTTGGTATTTGTATGTTTTGAAATCCTTTTAATGTCAAGATCGCCCTCCTGAATCCTCAGTTGAGTTAAAACAGACCCAGCTCAATTGCTTCTGAAAATTCACCTTTCTTCTATAAGATTGTACTTCAAGAAATCTTGTTTCATTCAAACATTAAATGTATTGATTTGACATCATCTGTGACCCTTTCATCTGTCTGACCTGTATTTCCTTGTGTGAGTTTCTCAGTTGCTTCAAATAAGGACAGATTCTTTTCAATTCCCATAGCATGTTATCTGACAATCTCCTGCCTGCTTTCTTCAGTTGCTTGCATGGGAAGACGTGAATGTTGTCTTTTCTAGTCTGAATATCTGAATGTTCTCTTTTCTAGTCTACTTTTACCTACCAGTGTGCTTCTATCTACTAGAATCAATTTCAGCTTGAAAGAACAGATCAAAAAATCTCATTACTAAAATGGCCAAAAAGAATCCATAAAATTTAGAATTTTAAAAAGCCAAAACAAAACGTTGGAGCAATATTATTCTAGAGAACGCCATGTATCTATGAAAAGTGGAAAAATCTTTTATTTTCAAATGCACTTATAGATCACCATTTTGCATTTGATTTTTTTTTTGGGGGGGTTGTTTTGTTTTGTTTTGTTTTGTTTTTTTGAAAGATCGGGCACTTACCTGATTCCTTTTTGAGGTAGTTCAGCTCATTAATCTGGTAAGAAAGCAGTTCAAAAGAAACAGAAAACCAGAAAAAAAGTGGCAACAGGATGCCACTTCACCCATATGTAGTACAGCCTTCTGTCTTGTAGAAATATGTCTGTCATAGATGCAAATCCATGCATACTACTATCTTCTTGGAAACTTTCTCATTGCTACTGAATTCCTGAATCATCAGGATGGTTTAATGGTTTAAACCCAGCCCTCTAAGATACTCCCCAAACTGTTGCAATGGAATAACTTTACCAGGTGAAGAGCTTGCTATGCAGGACCTGAACGTGATGCCAAGAATGCTTTGTTGTGGATTACCATTGTTTCGGATCATTTTTCCTTCCTCTACCATGTAGGTATAGGAAAAAATTAAGTAGCCACAAGGTGTTTCCAGCTGTCCTTGTCTTTTGGGATAGTAAGGATTTAGGGGAGTAAACAAAACTGTGGTGAGTTTTACAATTGACTTTATTGCTTCTTCACTTTGAATAAGCAGCTTTGCATTTCAGCTTACCCATCAGTATCATGAGAAGAATAATATCTTCCTTCCTGCTCCAAAGATGTTTAGTTATGCCTGTGATGTCATGGGATTAAAACCAAAAAACATTGGGATTGAAAGGAAGTACTGGCATGCCACAAGGTAACTGAAGTGAACGATGTTTCCTCCTCAGCTTTCCACTGTGATTACAGAATTTGAATATTATTCTGGAAATTGGTCTTAGCATAGTCTGGTGACATCTCTCAATAGAGCAGTGTCCCAGGGTGACTTTCTGATGCTTGTATCCCCAGCGGTCTGTTCTGTTGATGCTGGCTATTATATTCTGTGCCTTCAAGACTGGTTCTGAGAGTGAAGGCAAGGAGAAGACAAAGCACGGAGTTGGTTATCAGAGACTGCACTCACTCCTCTACAAGCAACACTCCTCCACATTCTGCGCTGGACTGTGCTGTCTGGGCACGGACGGAGCAGAAGAGAGCACTTCTTTGCTTTTTAGTTAGTTTAGCTGCTGAGGCAGAGAAGTTTTCCCTGGACAGTTGCTTTTCCTTTCCCTTTTCTTGGACCTGTTTGAACCTGCCCCGGACTGGGACTCGGGGAGCAGTGAGAGCTTTTACTTGGTGACCTACTCTGGGCAGCAGCCTTTCCAAGTGCCGCAGGGACTGATAACAGAGCGACCAGCCACAGGAGAGACTTTCTGACCTTGTTGTCATCTCTTCAGAGCATCAAATGAGCTTTGTCATCTGCTAGTGTTCATTTTTTGTGCTGGGGAGTGCTTTGCCTGTTAAATCAACAGGTTTCTTCCACTTCTCTCCCAGGAAATTTTTCCCAAACCGGTTGGGGGGAGAGGCCATGTGGGTTGGCTTTCTGGGGGTGTCCCCTTTCAGATGTCTTCTCCCAGATTTGCCCTAAAGCAGGACAAGTAGCATGTGCGACTTTGAGAATGATGGAATCACTTGGGTTGGAAAAGACCATTAAGTATAAATATAATTAGCAAATCCAAGCAGAAAGAAATCTTTTGCTGCTTGAATAGAACACGTGGTTTATCTGGTAAGCTTTGCAAGAATTTGTCTCATCGCAAGTAGACATGTCCAATGCATTAGATGGGAATATAAGAAGAGAGCTGTGCAAATATACAGAATGATTCTCAGGGAAGGACATTTGCATGATTAGTCCTTCTCCCTGACTTCTTCAAGTGAATTCTTTTAATAAAGTGATGATTGGATTTATTCCATTTTTGACAGTTCTTAGGGTATTACTCGCATTTTTGGCATATGAATGCCAAATGGGTTAATTCACAGAATTTCTCAGATAAAGACCAAGATTTAGTGTTGCTTAAGCTGGAGGCAGAAATATTGAAATCCTCCAGCCTCCTTCTTAGTACCTCATTTGTATTCCAAAATCAGGGCACATTCTTGTCCCTTAAGATCCAACAGTCAGCCAGCTGAGCTAGCTGAGTTGATAGCAACAGGGTGACATTAGGACGGCTTACATGATGCTGCACACAGAAGCCCTCAGTGCGCGGCTGTAGCATGCAGTAATTCCACGCAGTTGGACAATGCCAGTGCTGACTTTGGATCACCAGAAGGGTAGAACTAGAGAGATTTAATAGAGAGGTCTCTGGAGGAAGTGGCCTGAAGAAGACAGCAGAAATCCCATCTGTGTGTTTGTACAAAGAACTGAAATGCCATTCCCAAAAAAAGATCTTCAGATGTATCTAGCTTTTTCTGCAGATGATTTCTAAACAATATGCATTCCATGGAGAATTTCACTGAGCACCTGGAATACAGCTGCATTTAAGTGGATTGAATCAAGGTCGGGCAGCAGTGAAATCAAGGTTTTCAGGAATACCTGACATACAAGTCCTGCCGAAATTTATATCTCTTGGATATCCAGATACTTTTTAAAAGAATGGGTGACCATTTAGCTTCCTAATATTTTTCATCTGAAATACAAAGAAAATCTTGACCTGTGAGAGAAAACTCACATCTTTTATAGCTTGAATATTTTTCTTGGTTTATTTCCTGTTTTCCAATTCATTTCTACAAATCATTTTATTAGGTAATGAGAAGTCATGCTGTATAAAAATATTGAATGCTATATTATCGCCGGCCGGGGGCTCTATACAAGTCACAAACTGGACAGGACTGCTGTGGTATGCGACTTAAGCTGTTTATTTTTTAGCATCAGTCTCATTACATGGTTATGACAATGGGAAGATGCCAGCAGCTCACATTCCCAAGCAACAGACCAAGAACTTCATGTTACAACTTACTTTATAAACTTTATGACCAATCACACAAAGCAAAAGCATATTGACAGTAGTTCTAGCCAATCACTATAAATACACATACCTTTGGTTAAAACAATGCTTGCTTATTTCAAATACAATACTTGCCTGTAAGCCTTAAGATACAATGCACATAGCTCCATTATTAATCTTAGAACTTCCTAATATCTCACCAGATATACTTTTCTGCAACGTAGGAAGTTATTCTACCCAGACGTTAATACACAGACCATAGTTCTATTTGTTCTTTCTTTCTACTTCTTGTATAATTTTTCTGCTGACCAATCTTATAGCTACTGCTTAGCTCTAAATCACCATCCTGCTGTCTCTGAGGTCTGACTTTTACAACGTGCCCAAAACCCTCTGATTTTAAGGAATCCCACACCCTAACAGAAGGTCACCCGGTCTCATGGACGATGGGAAGGCAATGCAGATTCTATTTCAGGGTTTTAAGTGGAGTTTTGATCCTGTCCCTCGCAGAATACACCTGGTGCAGGTGTCCAGCTGTGAGACAAATAGAGACAGGGTGTGCTGGGTGAAGAATGGGCTAATGTACTGGCTTTCAATGGGATAGGATCCATTTTCTTCCCGGGGAAGCGGCAAAGAGCTGGGTCTTGCAAGTGCCCATAGGGAGCCCCTTTATCCCTCCTGGGGCACTGCGGAGGGCGGGGCCGAGGCAGGGCTGTGATGGCACAAAGGGGCAGAGTGCTGGCGTCAGGCAGGGCTGTGATGTCCCAGGGCTGTGCTGGCCGCAGCACTGTGACATCGCTGTGACATCAGCGCGCTGTCGCTGTGTGAGACGGGCCAGCACCCACAGCTGCCAGTGCAGTCACGATGGGACCTGCCGGAGCCATGGGTGACGGTGACGTCCTGATGGCTGCGTTTGTCCTGCTGCTGGCCGCCGTGGCTGTCTGGTGGGCCTTTGGCCACTGGCAACCACAGAGCCGGCAGACACAAAGAGTGAAGCTGAGGAAGCGCTGCTGGTCCGG